GCACTGAAGTCCTGTGTTTATTACCTGTTTATTTAACTGTTGATCTTTTTACCCACACAGGCTTGGCTTGATTTTTCCCTGGGGACTGGGCTCCTCTACTCCAGTTTACAGCAGAACGAAGCTATATATATGCGTACACACGTATATATACACACACATGTGCGCATATATATATATATATATATACTTTTTGTTTTACTTTGGAGTTTCTCGGCTAGATTACCTTTTTCTCTGTTTTTAACATATCTTCGTTTTTTACCTTTACAGTTTTTATTTTTTTAATTATATTTTATTGATTATCCTTTATAATTTTTAAAAGCTGAATTTATGGGGGTGACATTGGTTAATTGGTCATATAGGTTTCAGGTGCACATTTCTATCATACGCCATCTATATACTGTATGGTGTGTTCACCGCCCCAATGTGGGTTTTTTAAAAAAAACGATTTGAGAGGGAGACAGAGAACGTCGACGTGTTGTTCCACTTCCTCATGCACTCACTGGTTCATTCTTGTTCGTGCCCTGACTGGGGCTCAAACCCACGATCTTGGTGCATCGGGATGATGCTCTAACCAACTGAGCTCTAAAAATTTTAAATCATGCGTACAAATTTTTACCTTTTAACCCTGAGTTTCAAGTAACAAGTGTCATTTTTAACTCGATGTTTTCAACAAGAACCTCTGCTTCCTACAAACACACTGGCTCATTTTAGGCGCGGCGGCCAAGGCCAGGGTGCTCCTTGCGACAGTGCCACCGGCACGGGGTCCGGCCGGACGCCCGACCCCGGTCTCCGCAGCTCTTCCGCAATCTCCTCTCTCCTCTGCCGGCTCTGCAGTCCTTCAAAAACGCCAGTCCTCTCAACATAGAACTTTCTGGCATAAGGTTTAGAAGATTCTGATTATGCAAATTCTGCATTCACTCAGTCAAAGAAAAATGCATACTTTTTGATGCAACTCATTATCCTTTAGATGCCATTTCTTGTCTTTTATCTCATTCAGAAAGAAAATTTTAAACAGCGCTGGGAATACATTAAAACCACTATAATATTTTCTGAACCTTAAGAGAATCAGTATCTATCACAAATACACAAATCCAAAATAATGTCACCCTATGCCAATACCGTTTCAGCAAACCTTAATATAGACCCATGTTCGTCATTCACAAATAATTGTAGTACTGCTGCTCTCAACTCGGGACACGAATTCAACAAAGCCATGTCAATCTGTACTTCCAGGCATGACGCACAACACCTTTTGTTCACTCAGGTGACCACTGGACAGGTACCTGTTCAGCCTCTGCAGCAGGTGGGGTGCTATACTTGGGATACACCAGTGAGGAAAACGGACAGGGCTGCTATCCTCACAAAGCTTAAATTCTAGCAGGAATCTTTTATCCGAACACCACACAGTTTTTAAAAGTGTTTAACAGTTTTTAAAAGTGTTTGTTATATATATGAAATACACTGGATGAAATCAATGTATAGTCTTGGTATACTAATATAAGCCATATATAAAATACTACATGTACCTTATATTTGTCTTATCAACATTTCTTCAAGCATTTGAAATGTCTTGCATCTTCTCTACATTGCCCCCTAGCAACTATATTAACACGTATCTAACACTTCAAAAGTAACCGTTAGCTAATACAGATTAAATCTGCAGAGAAAAACGCAGTATAGGGGTACACAAGGTGATGGCTGTCCATAATAGGGGTGGAGGGAAACTGGATTTTGAAAATACCTTGGATTATATATATTTAAAACCTCAAAGGCATACCACGTCCCCACTAAGATAGATATTAAGGACTCTACAAGTACGTGTGATGACAAAAGGAAATTTCACGCCATAAAAATGAGACCGGAAGCACATAATCCAGGCCATTAACCTGCACATGTAATGACGGCTTCGTCTATTTCAGGGGCTGAGCACGTCCCTTAAATCGCACGCTGCGAGGCCACTGCTTGTTCAGCAGGGGAAGGGTGTCACTAAGGCTGCATGGACAACCAGAGCCCCCAGGGCGCTGGACAGGAAGATTTAAGGGGTTTTTCTCGACAGACACACGGCCTAGACACAGAGGGGCCACTTCCGCGGATGAGCTGGTTTAGACAGCAGAGAAGGAATGGCAGGTTGTGCTGCGGGGTAACAATAAAACCTGTGTGAGCACATCTTGTGTTTAGACAAGGCTACCCAGACGTTCAGACAGGAGGAAAGAAAGCAGGAAGCGGCAAAATCTCTAAAAATACTACAAGTCAACATCCAGTGACTGCGGTTCACTCACGCAGAAGTCGCCCGCCCTAAGAGACGGTTTATGAACGTGCCGGTAGGTAGGTACCAGACGCCTTAAAAATGTGTTTTAACTCAGCAGATGTACTTCCGATGGTTTGTCCAAAGGAAATAATTACAGAGCTATACACATCACATACAAGGAAGCCCAGTCGCTTGTACTGGCTAAAAACTAGCAACGAGAGATTAGAAATTATGCCGTCAGCGTAAGTAAGTAGCCCCGTGGTAAGCATCCTCACTGACCCCCGGGCCTGGGCTTGGAAACTGCCTCCTTCACTGCAACTGCTGCACGGCGAGGCTCCGTTAGAGGTGCATGCACAGAGCTCACCGCCTACCCTGCTGTCATTAAAACGCAATACGGCACTAGGCAGAAAGCAATTTTTAAAAAATATGAGCCTACTTTAAAGCTAACTACAGAATTACATTCTGTACGCACACACGTCCACAGAAGCTTTTTCTAAAGTGCTCATTTCTAGGTGTTGGTTTGTGGGTGGTTTTTCTTTCAGTTCTCTGCTTTCTTAAAGGGAAACACTGTATTAAGATGATTTGCAGCTTAATGTGGGAGTCTTTCCATCTTTGCAAAGAACCCACAAAACTGTCTTTTTAAAAAGTAATTAAATCTGAAAGACTATTGAGTTGTTCTGAGGGCAGTTCTTATTTTCTAGGACCTAAAATTAATTTTTAACCACTCATAAGCCTGATCCCTAATACAATATTTATTCAATGTCATTAATTAGTGAAAGCATTAAGCTTGGTAGATGTTCGTTTCTAATGGCTGGTCAATAAGCAGGAGAAACGTGACATTTAAAAAGTGAGGGCTGACCTCTTTTCAAAGGAAGTGAGCTTCGTTTGTTGGAAAGACGCCAGCCTGACCACACAGAAACTGGTTACTTAGAACAAAGCGGCGTGTCATCCACTGGACCAGGCAGAAGCACTGGGCTGACTGATTTTAACTGTATGATATACCCATTCCACACTGGGCTCCTACCATGTTCTTCCCTAAAAGAAGTGCAAGTACTGTATTTTAGGCTAGCGGGAAGGAATCTAAGTCCATTTAGTTACTGAGAGCACGCTTTTGGCAGATTTATTTTCTTTCTGGAACATCTACTAGCGGCTCCGGAGTGCTGCTACTGCAGGAACCGACACCTGTTCAATTCGGGGCTTCGGGCTCTGCCCTAATGAACTCTCTGCAGTCTAATCAGTCCAGGGAGCTGTGCCGGCGCCGCCGTGCTCTTCCACCACCAGGCTCCCAGAGGAGAACCAGCAGCCAGAGGGCACTGTGAAGGGCGCACAGGGAGATTGGTCTAGACAGGGCAATCCATCCCACAGCCAGCCAGTCTCTCAGCACGAAACACAAAGAACTCTTTAAAAGACCCCCTTACCAGCAACAATAAATCAAAATCCCTGAGGGTAACATCATTAGAAAAAAAAAAAACCCTTTTTGGCTTGAGAAATGGCTTTAATAATACGGCCAACTTGTTGAAAATTTCCCAGGATGACAAACTAATACACTGTCATAATTTAGGAACTGTCCCCCCACCCAAGCTGAAACATCAAGGGGGAAATGAAGCGAAAGGATGAGAGGGAAGGACAGGGAAGAGATGAATAACTTCTTATTTATGAACAGCCACCTTTTTTTTTTTTTTGGTTGAAAAAACAAAGAAACTGACAGAGCCCCCACAATAAGAAGTACCTGGAGCTCAGAACCCTTTTACCATATTTTCACAGCTAAGTTTCCAACAGCTACTCGTTTGTAACATAAACATATCTAGGCGGCAGTCTAAGCTGCAACCAAAATAAGTCAAGGTGACAATCCAGAATAAATTCAATTCTATGCAGCCTGTCCTACACGGAAAACCTGCCTTGCCAGGCCTGTGAGGTCCTCAAATAAGACTCCGAACATCTGGAAGACTCGAAAAGGACCCAAAGCCACTGGAGGTTTTAAAAGAAAAAAACATTACTAATACTCAAAAAAATTTTTTTTAAAGTGTGTTTTCAGAAAAAAACAAACAAAGCAGCTCTCTTCCTGAACCCCATTACCTCCCAACCTCCATAAAAAAAAAATGCGCTGCCTCCATTACACACATCAGGAGCGTGATGATCCAACGAACGCAGCCCTGCAAACAGAAAACATCCCACCTTGGACGCGTCCACCAGCAGGAAAGAAGCAGGTCCACACGCCTTCCTGCCCTCGCTTTCCGCCGGGGTCCCCCAACGGCTCTCCCACAGGTTGCGGGCCAGCACCGCGGCCCGCCAGCACTCCCCGGCCCCCTGCCGACAGACCCGTCTGACCTCGGCCCTGCGCTACCCCGAGGACCTCCTGGGCCAACCCGAGCGTCCGTCGGACGGCCCGGGCCCCGCGACCGCGAGGGAAGCGCGGCCAGGGCGCCTAGCAGGGAGGACGCAGGGCAGCCGAGCCACCGCGGCCGGGCAGGACCGCCCCCGAGTGACCCTCGGCACGCCAGCCTGTAATTGTTTAAAAGGAGTGAAGGCTGGAGGCGCTGCGGGGAGGGGGGGGGGATGGGCGTGGGAGCGCAGCAGGTTCGGGGGACAACCACCCTCGGGGGAGGTGAGTCCCGGAGGGGAAAAGGCCGGCGCCTCCCGGGCCTCCTCACCGCCCCGACGTCGGGACTTCCTTCTCTGGGCGCCGGCGCTTCTCTCGGGGAAGGGACGGGAGTCGGCCGAGAGGGAGGCGGGGTCGGGCCGAGATGCTCACCCGCCGGCGAAGAGGTGAAGCAGCGTGTTTTCCTGCTGAGTGCCCGTCGCCATGGCCGCGCCGGCGCCGCTGGCACGAGGCAGCTGGAAGAATACCCGAGGGGGCCCGCTCCGCTCGTGCCGCTGCTCTCAGGAGTCCGCCGGCGCCGCCTCCATGCACGCGCGCCCCCACGACCGGCTCCCTCGGCCCGCGCCCTCTGTTCGCGGCGAGGTCCCCCCGGTCCCTCACCGGCCTCTGCGGCTCAAGCCGGGCGTCCAGTGGGACCACACCGCGCGGCCGTCACGTGGCGGGGGCCGGGCCGTGACGTCACGCGGCGGCGCGCGCCGGGGCGGGGAACGGCGGGGGTGTGGGCCAGGATCTGCGCACCCATTGGCGGGCGAGTGGACGTGGGCGGTGCGAGTGCACAACCCGGGGCGGGGTTCCGCTCGGAGCACAAGACTGGGCGGGGCCAACCCGGGCCCAGGCTGCTGGATGGAGAATCTGCCCCAGCGGTCTGCTCCCTCCCTGCTCACACACTGAGACCTTGGGACTGGCCAAGTCCGGAGAGCCCCTGGCCTTTTTACTTACTTAGCCTATTTTTCACTTTAGTTTGGGGTACTTCCGATGTGTAAAAAAGTATATCGATTATATACGATATCTCACCACCCAGCTTAGGGAAAAAAACACAATCAAAAGAGCCTAAAACTCCCCGTGTACCCCCAGTTATCATTTTGCATATATTTTATTTTTCTAGAAATAGCAGTATACGCTGCAATACGCTTTTTGGTCTATCTTTTCTGATCACCTCCAGCCAAGGCTACTGAGTTCCAAGCTTCTATATCCAAGCTGCTTCTCTACTTGTATGTGCTTGGGTCACTGTCAGACTCAGCCTGGCGTCTTCTTACCTCCAGGTCTTGATACCAGGCCTTCCCTGGCTACCCTTGCAGCACACCTACCGCAAGGCTCCGTTTCATTTCCTCGTATGGGTTTCTGCGGCTACTTTGTTGATCGATTTGTTTAAGATGTCCTGCCCCTGGAGCGTAAGCTTTAGAATTGCGGGGACCCTGTTTCATTTGCTCACGGTTGTTCCTGACGAGGTATCTGCAGCTAGTAATGCCCAAGAAATGAATGAATAAATGTCCCTAACCGAACTCATCATTTCAGTCTTTCCCTCCCCCAAACCTGTCTGCCTCTTTCATTTCCTGTCCTGGAAATATGACACCACTATCTGCACGGTCACCAACGCCAGAGACTTTCCTGTTACCTTCAATTCCATTCTCTCCCTCTCTCCTTCTCTTGTCTTTTTGGTTCTCCCCCTGCAGCCCTCAGCAGCCCATCACTCACTCCTATCTCCTGAAATTCTCCCACAGCCATCCCCTTCCTGGTGCTCCTTCTGCTGCGGCTGTGGTTTCAAGTTGAAAGTAGTACCTTGGCCAGACCAAGCTGCTAGCTGTCCCGAGTGTAAACACAAAGAGAGCTTAAGTGGAAGGGGAATTATGTGCAAACACAGGGGCTGGGGATTTGATTGCTGGGACTCTTTAAAAACAACTCTCGGGGGCAGTCATCCAAAATACAAATATAGTGAGCACTCTATATTAAAATCATTACTCCCAGGCCTAGAAAGGGGAGAGCCTTACCAGCTGCTCTGTATATGAGGGAAAGAAGGGAGGAAGGAAGGAAAGAATGCGGGCAGGAAGAAAAAGTGTTTCTCATGCTATGCGAATTTCCCAAATCCCTTGCTTTAGTTGCCTAGGAAGAAAGTGTTAGTGCTCGCTGAAGATTTATGAGGCAGAAGGACAAAGGAGGAGAAAGCAATGCCACCTGGTCAGCCAGGAGGGACCTGTTCCCATCTGGGTGAAATTTTAAACCAGAGGAGGTGCTGCCGTCCTTGGAGCACCGCCCTCCGCGTGGCTGCTGTCTCACACAGGCGTTTGGGTGTTTGGGACCCCAGGCCTCTAATGCTAAGGCAGCACCCAGCCTCCTGCCCTCTTTCCCCAAGAACCGCGAGTCTGCGGCTGGGCTAGACAGGGAAACAGGCCTCCCCACCTCCCTGCTAGTGATAACACTGACTTCTGGTTAGAGTTTTTCCAAGGCGTCTCGTGTATATTATCTTGTGGGATACTCACGGTGTTTGGCAGCCCTGTTGTTTTTGTTCCCTCTTCACGGACAGGCAGGACAGATTTGCTCAAGGTCACACAGTCAGTTAGTGGCTGATGCAACAATCTTTCACGCCTCCATGCCTTGGAACATGCCGTTACCTAGGAATCCCCCTTCCGTTGCCAGCTAGACAGAGGAAGCTACCGGACTCATTCATTCATTCAGCACACACTTACTGAGCTTTTGCTCGGTTCAAGGCAGTGTTCTGGGCTCAGGGGCGGGGCGGGGGGTACAGCAGGGATTAAAATGGGTAAAAATCCTTAGCGAAACAGTAGCAGTCAAACCCGGCAATAGATAATACATCATGATCAAATGAGATACGTCCCAGTAATTGGAGGTTGGTTTAACCTTCCAAAATCAACCAGTCCAATTCAGTCTATGTTGTGCATTGGTTTAATATGATGTCAAACCCACTTGTTCATGACAAAGAAAAAAAAGCTGCTTCGATATAAGAGTGACGTGAGTCGTGCCAAGGTGTCATCACCTTTGCGTCTGTTGTCACTGATGGGCAGGGAGCAGCCTTGCTGCGGAGGGGCTCCCCTGGGCCTTATTCCCAAGAACATGTGGAGAGGCAACTACGGCAAGGGGACATTCAGACTATAAATACTCAGAGCTTGTGAGGACTAGATGAGCGTTTCAGTTTGGACAGAGGGGACTCTCCTTCACTAATATAAAAAACGCCCCGAGACCCTCGGGGCACGTGTCCTGCCCTGGTGAGGTACTTCTGGAAGACAGCAGTGGTTAACAGCTTAGTCCCCCATGAGAGACATCAGCCTGCCCACCAACGCTGGCATCTTCGTTCCCTAGCAACGGAGCACCTACACTTTTGAGCTGGCAGCAGGAAGCCAGCTCTGCCATTGGCTGTCATCACTCCCAGCGCCTCCTCGTACAAAAAGATGCACCTCTGTCGAAATTTAAATTCTATTCTCTCACCTCTCCTTGCCTGGAACAATAAATAGTGCTATTAATCTGTCATTTCTTTGGAGTCTGTGATTTCTTTATTTGGCTTCTTAAGAGCTATTATCCTGGGTGCTGTTGGCTTGTGAAATTACTGTAATTCCCACAGCAAACCCATGCTAAATAATTTACTGGCAAAGACAAAACTCAGTGTCTAAATCATACTTTTGCAGCCTCCCAAAACAAAAACAGAAACAAAGCAGCATATTAGCAGAATAAAGGAGAAAAAAAAACAGGTGATCGTGCCAATATATGCAGAAGAAATGTGTCACAAAACTGAATGCCTATCTCTTAAAAAGGTTCTCAGCACACTGGGAACGAGACGGAATTCTACCACCTGATAAAGGGTGTCTACCACAGACCCACAGCTACCATCACACTTCACGGTAACGGACTGCCTGCCTGCTTCCCTAAGACAGGCAACCAGAAAAAACACCTGCTCCTCTTCAACATGGTCCTAGAGGTACCAGTCAGTGCAATAAGGCATGAGAAAGAAATAAAAGTAGAAAAGGTCAGAGAGGAAGAAGTAAAACTCCCTTCAGCCACAGATGACCTAGTTGTTAACTAAGAAATCTCAAGGAACCTATATAACAACTACTAGAACTACTTATGCAGCAAATTTAGCAACATCATAGGAGGCAAGGTCAATATACAAAAAAGAGCTATTTTTTGCTAGCTGCAAACAATTTGAATACTACATTTTTTAAATCTAATGTTAATACTATGAACAACACCAAGCTAAGAGTTTCTCGGTTTTCTTTTTTTTATTTTATTTTATTTATTTATTTTTAGGGAGGGAAGGGAGGGGGGAGAGAGAGAGAGAGAGAGAAAGAGAGAGAAACATCAATGTGCGGTTGCTGGGGGTTATGGCCTGCAACCCAGGAATGTACCCTAGCTGGGAATCGAACCTGGGACACTTTGGTTCCCAGCCCGCGCTCAATCCACTGAGCTACACCAGCCAGGGCTTCATTTTAAAAAATTCTATTCATAGTAGCATTAACAACAACAACAACAACAACAACAACAACAACAACAACAACCCAGCAACAGCAACAAAGAAGCCAGACATAGAGCACATGATTCCACGGACAGGGAGTTCCAGGGAAGACCAAACCAATGGGCAGTGACAGCGGACAGCAAGCGTCTAGGGCCGAAACTGGGTTGGGCAAGGGCTCGACTACAAAAAAGCCTGGAAGAACCTCTTAGGGTGACAGACGTGTTCTGCATCCTGATCAGGACATTTACATAGACTTGTCAACACGCATCGAAAGTTACACTTAAAGGGGTTACATTTTACTGCACGTGAATTACAAGTATTTCAATAAAGCTCGCTAGACAGAAATGAGCAAGGGACACCCGTAAAATGCACCATGATCAAGTTTAGAAATGAGTCAGGCCAGCACCGATAGTTACTCACAGAGATGCCCTCAGTGAGCGCTGCTGTCGCTGCTGTCACAGACCAGGGGACCACTGCCAGGCTTGACGGGGGGCAGGGGAGGAGAGGCTTCTCAGGTTTTTGGTAACCATTCGGTTGTTAAAGGGCCCCCCAGTTTCTGCTGACCAGTGGCTGGTTTCTGCCAGCCTTCTTTCTCCGACTGCTGGCTGTCGAATCTCTAATTGCTTCTTAACTACTGTTTTTCTGCAAAAGCTGCAGAAAGCTCCAACCTCACCATCCCCAGGGGCTGGGGTTTCCTATCTTTGCAAGGAATTGTAAGCAGCCTAAGGCTGGAGCAGGGCCTGTTTTTCTCCCGAGAGGTCCCGCCAAGAATGAGAGGACAAGCAAGGTCTCGTGGTCTGCTCCCGGGCAGGAGGGCCTGGGGCAGGCGGTGTGGTGGGAGCAGAGGACTCAGTCCAGCTGCTCTCTCTCCTTTGCTTTCTCCTCAACAGAACCAGCTAGAGCCAAATTTCAGCTACAGTGTTTTCTTTCTTTTCTTTTTTTTTTAAATAAAAGTTTTATTGGGGAAAGAAGCACAAAAATGCAACTGATACGGAAGGAGAACTGAAAAGTCACAATGAGCCAATGTTGTTAGCAATTACTTTTCAATTTCTTGAACAGCTCCCTTCAGGAAAAGCAGAACATTTTGTTTGGGTTTTAAAAATCAGAACTGCCTTAATGCTTTTCGCAGGGGACTATTTCCTCAACTGTTTGGAGCCATTAGGAAGAATACCCAGGT